TCTACCTACCTATCCTACACACTAACCTACCTACATCTCTCCTTTCTACCCTCCACCTCTACCTACCTATCCTACACACTAACCTACCTACATCTCTCCAAAGAGATGTAGGTAGGGGAGTGTGTAGGATAGGTCGGTAGAGGTAGAGGGTAGAAAGGAGAGATGTAGGTAGGTTAGTGCGTAGGATAGGTAGGTAGAGGTGGAGGGTAGAAAGGAGAGATGTAGGTAGGTTGCCTATCCTACACACTTAACACTACCTACACCTCTACCTACCTACTTACACGTTTATCTACCCTACACACTCACCTCTGCTCACTCGACCCGACAACAACGCTGTAAGACTGGTAGCTAGGAGTCGACGGTTTCTCTTCGCGCGTCTTTATCGACTGGAACTTCATCGTCAGTCGCGGAGATGTTGCTTTCTCGTATGGCTTCTGCTGCTGCTGCTGCTGCTGCACCGCCGCCATCCCCGCTGCTGCGCCGCACGCCGCTGCCGAACCGTAGGGCTTCCTACTGCTGGTGATGGCAGGAAGCTGAGTGCCATCGCCACGGTTACCGACAACAGCTCCACCGGGTTTTAACGACTCTCCGGCCGCCGCCGCCGCTGCTGCTGTGGGAAGGAGGATGGGATCGCGTGAGAAGGGATTCGTGATTACCACGTCACATACCACGCGCGTCGAAACTGCGTACGTACGCAGTTTACTAGAAACGGAAGACGTTCGACGCACGTTATTACCTGTTTACTCTGTATGAACAACATTCCATGCACGTTAATAGCTGTAACTATGTACGTAATGTACTCCACGCATGTTACTAATACCTACAGGGGCGTAGCTACCATAACGCAGATACGCAGTTGCGAACACGTTTTTTTTATTGGAGAGAGAGAGAGAGAGAGAGAGAGAGAGAGAGAGAGAGAGAGAGAGAGAGAGAGAGAGAGAGAGAGAGAGAGAGAGAGAGAGAGAGAGAGAGAGAGAGAGAGAGAGAGAGAGAGAGAGAGAGAGACGAGAGACGAGTAGAGA